ATCCCTTCTCCTCCATTCTCCTCTTGGGGTTTCGGGCATGCACACACACGTTTGGTGTGCTTTCCAAGCCATCAGGTCCAGGACTCAGACCACACAGTCACATGGGATCCAGCCAGCTTTACCACCATGATCCAGGTTGGCCTCTGGGTGTTTTTTGGAGGGGTTCAAAAGATTTCCTCAGGATAAAGATAGCTTATGGTCATGACATGTTAATAATAAAAATTCTATAATTAGGAGTCTTATATAGAATACAATCATAATATGGCTATTAATATGCAAATTCAAATACTTCCATAAACCAATCATGTTACCTTGAATTTAACAACTATATTCAATAAAAGGTTGGGTTATCATACAGAACAATATTACAATGCAATACTTTTTGGAGATTTTTGTTTATTTTTTAAAAATTATTACATATGCATGGAAAAAGTATAGAACAATATCTATCAAAACTTTTTAAAAAATTACTTTCTGGGACCAGCAGTTGGCGTAATGGCTATGTCACTGGACTCCCACATAGTTGACCACGGTTTGCGTCCCAGACCCAGTGGCTTAAAACTCACGCCAGGCGCGTGTGCGTGTGTGCCCAAGATCCCGAGAGGAGAATGGAGGAGAAGGGATTGCGGCGTGACCATCCCCCCTGGGGGGTGATTTCTCGCTTTCTGTCTCTCTGTCTCTGTCTGGCGAGCACACGTGCCCTATAGCAAAAACCTCTCAAAAAAAAAAAAAAAAAACTTTCTTAGGATGACAGTACTATCGTTTTTGTGATCTTTGTTTTTATTCATTTATATTTCATATCTATATTATCAGTCTTCCCTTTTTCAATTTTAAAAATCTTTTGTAACTCGGGACCAGCAGTTGGCGTAATGGCTGTGTCGCTGGACTCCCATGTAGTTGACTGCAGTTCAAATCCCAGACCAGATGGCTTAAACTCACTCTAGGTGCATTTGCATGCGTGCCCAAGATCCCAAGAAGAGAATGGAGAAGAAGGAATTGTGGCGTGGCCATCCCCTGGGGGAGTGATTTCTTGCTTTCTGTCTGTCTCTGTCTTTCTGGTGAGAATACACGCCCTATAACAAAAACCCCTCGAAGAGAAAAAAAAGAAAAGAAAAAAAAAACTTTTATAATTCAATTAGGCCAATAGCTATGTTATGTTTCTAGCCAACATCAGGCACAACAAAGACACATAGTAGGTACTCAAACGTGCAACCAAAGTCTTTCAGATGTGGATCCTATCTACTAGTCGATGACTCTATAAAAAGATTTCAGAATCCCTAATGTGGGCCCAGAAAGCTCAGTGATGTGAAAAGGCAGCAATTTCACAGGAAATAGGCTACCAAGTATAGGAAATCATTTCAATGTTGTATTCTTAGGACACAGTAACCACTTTTCTCTTTGAAACTAAGTATTTTGAGTGATTTATTATAAATCTGTAATGACAGTTGTGAACACCTCTCTTTTTTTTTCTGGCATGCGAACAGAGTCTGTTGATTGCTTTGGTTCTTAAAATAGTTTCTAAGTGTCCCCATAATAGCATGTCACCTGTAAACAGGTTTCAAGCCAATGCAAATTAACAAATGGTGAACAGATGGACTAAGAGCTGACTTTTGTCAAGAGAGTTAGCAACAAACTCTTTTTGGCTCTAGTCTTATGGGACCATTAGAAAGTCTTTCACTTCTCGCCAACATCTTGCCTTAGTAGACAATCCATGCAGGGAAAATGACAAGGTACAAGGCCCAGCAGACTGAGAGCTGAAAGTGGAGGTCTGCAGAACCGCCAATCAGCACGAGAAACAACAGCTAGAACAACGTTCCTTAAGGAGTTTCTGCCCAACGGTGGGAACTGTCTCAGAGCAGTACACAAAGTTTCCCAAGAGCTTCTGGAAAAGACGGCGCCTATGCTTGTACACACGTACCGACTATTGTCACAGGTTGGTGGCCGCGCTCACTCCATCTTGGAAGCAAATGTTAATTGTGAAGAGAGTCCGAAAACCATAGAAACAGTGGTAAAAGAGCGTCCACCAGCAAGAGAAGGGCACCCCCAGAAGACCTATCCCTCGGACTCCCTGCACCCTGCTCTTCACTGCCTTTTCTTTTCCTCATTCTCCAAATCTCTGCCTCATGCCGTTTGGAGAGTATCCTCTGACATCCTACTACAGTGGTTTGTCCCACTCCCACAATGTCCCACCCTATTTACTCTCTTCTCAGCATAGTCGTAACTGGAAATTACGGTATTAATGTATTAATTTGTTTAGGGTTATTAGGTCCCTCCTCCCACCACCACTGAACAAAAAGCTTCAGAAGAGAAGAGCATCCTGTCTTGCCCATGATTACATACCCAGGGCCTAAAGCTGTTCCCAGCACACAGTAGGCACAGTAAATATTTGCTACCCAGACAGACAATAAACAGGACCCCAAGCAAAGGCAGACAACTGGGTCTTCCACACAAACACTCGTTTGGGCTAAGACTGAGAAAGCGCAGCTTGTGCCTGAGGAGGTTCAAGATAGAGGGGGCAAGAGAGGAGCAGGA